AACAGGTTGCTCATGTGGCTAGATCTACTATTTACTCATTGTTACTACTACTAAATTACTCATTATGTTCATATACCAATCCTCTGCTCACAGAGAGTTGGTGTTTCACCTACATAGGACAAAGATATGGGTCCTGACCTGGAGATCTTACCTGTAGTGCAAGACAGAACTGATAGATGGAGGCAGGAGAGCAGAGGGAATGGTGGCTCAATCTATACTGCTTTGCAGCCTGGCTTCATGTCAGGCTTGAGTTCGCAGTGTTCAACAGCTTATCCCTGCAGGATCAAAGAAGAAGCAGCAGAAAGTCTTCCCACTGTGCCTTCATTTCTTTACTGGAGCAGCAGGAAGGCTTCCTCCAGAGTATAGCCAGGGATAGCCAAGCAGGATCAGATAGAAACCCACCATGTGCCTGTGTAATACCTCACATCAAAGATGAAGAAATGTATAGGCTGGCTCTTTTAAAACAGACTGTACAATTTACATCTACTCTGGATTTTCCCCTGTAAGTCTAGACTTCCTAAGTATTCACAGCCCATGAGAACAAAAGAATCCTGCACTAATTCATGTCTGGACCTTTATAGAACCCAAAAAAAGTACATCTCTCTGATGGCAGAAGGAAATGTGGAACATGTTATCAGAAGGAGATATCAAGAGAAGTGCTTGTACATGTATCAGATGCTAGTAAGTCCAAAACCAAACTATTTAAATCTGCTCACATGAAAAAAAAGAGTGTGGAGAGGGTGGGGACAGAGGCAAGCTGGTGGTTTTTCAAGATCTTTCAGTCTGAGCAGATGGAGCTGTGTTACCTGAGACCCAAAATTAGCGAACAGAAAAAACTGTTCAATAGTAAAGGTCAAGTCAAATAAAAATAAAGTCAGCAAATGCTTTGCCAGTATCAGTGCAACAAGACACAATCCTGAGAATATGGTCTGTCCAACACTATTAACTTCAGGGCAATTTCTCCTGATGCATCTGTGAAGTAACTGGAAAAAAACCCATCCCTTTGCTCCCAGCAGCCACTTTGCCAGATCACTAAATCCGTCCAGAAAGCACCAAACCTTTTGTTTCTGGTTCTGCCACCACTGCTCAGCAGCCAGAGCTGGGGGTGCAACATGGAGCAGTGACAGGCAACTTGCATGTTCCTGGTGTCCAAGAGAGCAGCACCAGTTGTAGCAGGCTCTCTGAAAGCTTCCACACGGGGACTTGGGAGCAAGCACTGTTTCTGGGTTGATCTAGGGTACTGAAATAAACTAGAGCAAGAACTATTCTGGAAAGTAAATGCCTCTTGGGATAACATAGGACAGACATCAATTTTAATAGCTTCTTTGCAGAAAGACAATAACCAAATCACACATTTGGGAGATTCTCACACTGTCTCTTTATACTCAATTGTTTCAGCTAAGCTTTCCCTTTAAAACATCCCTAAGGCCTTCCTCCTGAAAACATACCACAAAAGTGTGAATATTAGTAGCCTGAAATCCACTTGAGACAGCTAAGAAGAGACTAGAAACTAATAGATCATAAATAATCTCCTATGATTTAGGTGAGTGTTGGCCTTGATAATTTCTAAAATTTTACAGATTGGTTTGTTTTTTTTATCCCTGTAAATTCTCCACAGCAAACAACTGACAATCTTCCCTCTTCAGAGGGTACTGTCCTGAAGTTATTAGGATGCTACTTTTATCACAGACAAAATGTAATTAAATGACTGTAGGGAAAAACCCATAGTAGATGTCTGTTTCTATGTGGTCAGATAACATCCCATGACCAGAGTTCTCTGGTACTTCGACTTTACTGCCAGCTGTGTATTAGTTTGAACCACTACAAGAAGCAGCCAAGAGCTGGAAGTTGCACAGGTGCTTCTGCACAGTGTAAAATGTAAGGCAGCAGATGCTGCTATGTTCAGGTTACCCTCAGGTGGCGGCAACCTGTAGGGCTCTACTTTGCTCTACTTGGAAGCAGGATGCAGACACCTCCTTCCCCCTCACCCTCTGCAGAAACACACTTTATCTTCCATAGCATTACCAAAGGATGATTTAGTTTCAGTGTGACTTAAGCCAGTACTGGGACTGACCTTTATGAGCAGGAAACAGCTGAATGATCCCATGAAATGTCTCTCCCCTCAGTGCCCTTAAACACAGCTTAGCACATATGGCAGCGATGGGTGAAGACTCCAGGCCCAGCTACTTTCAAATGGAGCAATGTTCATAATATTTTTCATTAAGTAAGAGCACTACTGGACAATCAGAAAGTTTCTCTGTGTTACTGCAAAAATCTTACCTAAAGGAAAGGTATGCAAGGAAGGTACTCTTCACTAAATATTCCCTGTAAATGAATTCATATAGAGTTCTCACTCGTCACATTTGTTTTAAATAATGTGTGGATTAATTTACAGGTTACCCTTTACTAAAGGAACCTGGAAAGGGGTTTTGTTCTGTGCCTTCAAGTTCTAATCCAGATGTGCACTTAGAGTTGCAAGTGTAACTCAGGTTCTGACAGTGTCAGATACTGAGAAGTATCAGTTTTCAGGGCCATCTTTCACCGGTGTTAGCAAGTACAGGTGTGCTGATACCATCAACATCTGTTTCCTGTGGTGTAGCTGATCACTCACCAGGAGGCACCCCCATCATGGAACTTTCTCCGTTACAGAGTAGCCAAAGGCTCCTTCCTCTGCAACAAGGCTGCCATTCAGCAGATTTTTCCAGCAGGACTTTTGGAAATAGACCATTTTTAACCTTTCTTGCCCCAGAACTATTCTCTGATTACACATCAATGGATTTATGTTATTTGCTGGGTCTACCTAAAAGGGCAATCTTCTAGTTCATTTTGGGACAACTCACAAAACAACCCCAATGCCACCTCTTCCCTGGAGTTGGCTGTCCCATCACAATACCCCAGCCTTGCTTGTCTGTGCTGTAGGAATTGAGCTGTTCCCCGGTCCAGTGGTGAGAGGGATCCCAAACACAGCTGACAGCTAAATCTTTCCTGCCTTTGAGGAGCATGACCCTTCTACTTGCAACCACATCTGCTGAATTCAGTTACTCATAACTTGGAGAACTAAGCCTAAATCATGTTGTGTTTTGGGTTTTTTTTTTGCATAATCGCAGTGCAGATGGACTAAAATAGAAAAAACCTCGACCATTTATTGTACATACAAGTACTTTTAATCAGACCCCAAATTAACTTCAGAAATGGGCTGCCACATTTCACAGACGCAAGACATTCTAAAATAGCTGAGACCAGACTTGAACACTGGCTTCATCTTAAAACACTGTGCATTTTGCTTATTCAAGAAATCAGATGATTCTCTTCTACACAAAATTTTAGACCTCAAGCCAATACGATAATCTTGTTTTAGAGATATGATGTTCCAGGACAAGTTCTCAGTATTTTTAAGTTGCTTAGTAGAGATTACGGTAGAAATTTAAACAAGAAAATATAACATTTCTTGAAGAAATCAAAGCCACTTACAAGAGGATCACACACATCACTATTAAATTATGCTTTTATCTTCCACCCAAAAAAATCCTCCTTAACAACAGCATAAAATTCCATTTGTTTTAGAAAAGCATATATCAAATAACATTTGCACACTTTATTTCAAAACCTTTTGTTGTCTCAGCTCTGTAGCAACACTCCAGTACAGGTTAAGACTTGTACATTAGGAGATCAATGACAGTCAACTTTAAAAAGGCAAGCCAAGTACAAACCCTCTTTTGAGATTATGCTTTTTTTAATGTAGACTGAGAACAGTAGGCATGAAACATCTACACAGCAAACAAACATAAAACAAGTATGCCATTTTCCCCTTATTCATCTCAAGAGTTTTTCATCTGGCAACTGGAAAAAAACCTTCACGTTGCCAGGTGTGGAGGACACATTCCTAACTAAACAGTATGGATGTACGAAGAGTCATAGTACTTAAACACACATGACCCTCTAAGACCACTTCCATTTCCCTAGTGGCAACAGCACACTAGTCAGAGGAACACTCGGTGATACTAATCAACACTGAACACATAAAAGGGACAGTAACCCCTAGAGTGTCCCAAAGTGATCTATAAAAAAGGCCTCCTCCATTCTCTAACTGGCTAAATACTGATCTTGTATGTATTTTCACATAGTGTGAGGAACTACTGAGCCACTTAGAGCCTTCCAAGAAGGACTAAGGAAAATAATTGCTGACTGGGACTCAAGGTACATCTATCCTACACTGTAAACTTAGAGTAGTACAGCCTGTAAGAGTGCAGCATGTTAGACAAGATCTTACAAAAACTACACATTGCAAATAACACATGCATCTGCAGGGCAACTACACACCAACTATAAGCAGGATGGCAGTATAGGACAAAAGTAAGAATTCTGCCTAATCATTACTATTATTAATATTTGAAACTTAAGCTTCAACAACTCTTCACAAGTTTTATAATGGCTTTAGATGTATTTAGAACATTAAATGTCAAACTCTCAAGGAAGTTTAACTGGGATTTTTAAAAGATACAGAGACAGAAACAACGTTACAGAGGTCTTGCAGGTCCAGGAATCTAAGTTAATAAAAACAGACTTCAGAGATAAACGTATTTCCCAAGGTAGATTTTTTTTTTACTGCAATTCCCTCCTCTCTCCAAAGCAAAATGCTTTTCATTTAGACTGTGCAAGAATGCAGTGCAGGAACCAAGCTTTAAGCAAAGCCACTGAACCAATGAATAGCACACATACACACACCACTCTTCCACACAGATTCCTCTTTTCAAAGGTTCTCCCACTGTAGAAAATTATCTGCCCATCACTGTGCTCCTCATGCTCATCTCCAAGACACACGGTCAAATTTAGCAGGTGATGGTCAAGGGTCTGATAATTTACACAGCAAGAGGAAGTAGGCAGTTTACAGATTTAAATTACTAAATCTCATATTCTACAAATAGGGACTGCTGCCACTGTTTGGCAAGTGAGGGTTTCATTGCTCATAGCTGCATTAAGTAGATGCAGACTCAGAAGAGTTGGTTTAATGAATTTATTTATGTAACACCTTACTCCAGTGTATCAACTCAGAGTCAGCTACAACAACTATGCACAAGGCTGTGAATCTGAAAAACAGTTTCACATCCAATAACAGCTTCTGGTTAAGCCTAAGTATCACTAAGAAGGCTATCTTGATTTGCAGGTTTGAAGGACACAGACTTCACAACATTCCAACAAAAAACCCACCACTCTTTGCAGTCTGAGCTTGGCCAGCCTCAAGTCCTACTAGTGAATTTCAAAAGTGTTTTCTGTTATAAGCTCTTTTCCTGCCTTGACAATTACAGGCCACATCCTTTACCGTTGGCATAGATGAAAGACTGAAATCTGCCTTCATTGTGAAAACAAATTTTCATGGCAGCACTTTAAATAGTTCTTTTCCAAAGCCGTCATTTTCAGCATTCTTGAAATGTGAATATGTATTCCAAGTAAGTTTAACTTTGACAAAGAAGTTTCAGAGTAAGATAAAACATGAAATAGTAGAAATCTTTCATCTAGAACATAGAAAGATTACATGGTATGTTGCCACAACAAATCTCATCTCTTTAAACTTAAAATGTGTTACTTCTTACTTTCAATTTTGCCCTTCAAAGGTCATAACACAAGCATCTCCCCTAAAGCACAAAAACCAAGCCACCTATCAACTTCAAGAACAGATTTTTAAATGAGGAGGATGAACAAAAGGTTTTTATTTTTTATTCCAAGAAGAATGACTATGGAGAAATGACTCAAGTTTAGGTAGTAGAAATTAATGGAATGCCATCTGAAATGAAGACTGACTCAGTAACACGAGATCTGCTAGTCATTCGTTAATCTCAAATTCAAAGCCCACTAGAAGTACTCATATAATATCAGGGAAATAGGAGAAGATAATGCTTCTTTTTCCTCTTGGGCAGAACAAGCTTTAAATGGGAACATCAGTTTTTCTGGCATATGATAAAATGAAAATCACAAAGTGCTATGTACCCCCAAAAGATTAATTACTTTAGCACCTAAGAATCAAGACTAGATAAACTTGCAGTAGAATGATTTTATTCTGCTAATCTCCAAGACTTGCATAAGACTTATTTCTGTTTTTTTCATTTGGTGTGTAGGTATTTTGCATTTTGCAGCAGCCAGTCCTTCCTCCTGAACACATTATACCTTAATAGTTACAATGTTCTGGAACATCCTTTCTGTTGAACAATTAAGATCTGTAACACCAGGCAGAATTTGTGAGGACTGAGAGACTGGATACTGGATTCTTACAGGTGGAATTGTCTAGATCACATGGAGAAAGAAACTGTCATATAATGCTCCCCTAATTGTTGCTAGTGCCATAAGGGTTCATATCTGAACTCAGAAATCTAAAAAAAAAAGAAAAGTTCAAATGAGTTAAAGGTGAGCATTTCTGTTTAGAAAGGCAAATCTGAGTAGGAAATAAAGTACAGACACATGTGATATTAAGTAATATAGTTTTGCCTATTCTTGATGTTTATTTAGGTAGTCATCAATTTTATTTTTCCTGGCTAAATTACTAGTAAGTGTTAACAGTACATAAATGTCTCTTTCTTCCTTTCCAGAGAATACACGGTATTACATAATGTTTCTTAAACATTTCCCACTATTGTTATAGTTTTGCAGCTCATCGTATTTTGAATTGCTTCAGAGAAAACTTCCATGTCTATCTCAAATGGAAGACAAGATCTGCATTTTTCACCAAATGAATTAATGTCATTCTTCAAGAGACATGTCTTACAAGCAGAATATCAAATGCCTTAGTTAACTAAACTAGATTAAATGCATGGTGGAACAAACCTATTATAATTTCCAATAACGCTGAATTAATTGCCTTCTAGAAAAGTAGACTAAATCAGTTTTCTGTAGTATCACCCAAACTCTATTACAAAACTCTCTAAATCAACTTTTAATCCCAACAGAACTTTTCATACCAAGAAAAAGGTCAGTGTAGAGCCTGTTCCCTTCCTTACTTCTGCAGCTAACACTACAAGCTCATTAAAGCACTTTGCTTGTCAACATCAAATGCACAGTCATGGCCAAATCAATGTCTTCCCTCCTCACCCAGTGACAATATCCCATCCACTTCCTTCAAATATTTTGGGAGTACTGTGTAAGACCTAGATATTTAGCACATTGTCAGTAACAGTAGCCTTAAGTTCAGCTTATTTCACCCCTACTAGGCTTCATACTAATACCTCATAGTCACTGCAATAAATTTTAGAGAAGATTCAGTTACTTAGTGAACAATTTATGACTTATGCTGCTATTAAGATACACCTACGCTACAGACCTTAAAGCTCTAGTCTTACAGCTACAGGATAAAATCATATCAAGCTAAATCTACTGATAATTCAGCTAATACTTCATCATGTAGATTTTCCAATTTCTTCAATCAGCAGTGAGCTACACTTGCCATAAAGCAGCTCAGCCATTCTTCAGCAAGGCTGCTGTGCTAGTTTAAAACTTTAGCTAAAGCATTTCAGATATGCCAGAAAATGTATGAACAAACTTTTATTTTTAAGCAACAACACACACTATTTGAATACAACTCACACATTTAAGTCAGGTGGAGAGTACTAAACTGAACAATCATCACTAATACATTTCCATTGGAAATGTGGTAAAGTTCACAAGTGTCTTCGTTACCACCTTACTGAAGTTTTCTTATGTGTTTCTAGTCTACACACCACCTGTTTCATGCAGTCATGCAAATCTGAATCAAACTGTAAATGTTCAGGTAACAGGGAAGTCCATTCACTGCAAAGATTCATTTTTCACAGAAGAGCCAGGTTAGGTAAGACCAATACTGCAGGAGTCTTCATAAGTGTACAGGTATATTAGAAACCATGAACTTTCAGTTGTTCTTCCTTGACAATGCCAATCTAAAGAAGAAAAGCAACATGTTTTAGTAAAGCTTACATACTTAGGGTATTACAGCAATATCAAGTTACCACAGTCTTATACTTTGATTAAAGAAACTGCTATACAGTATATACTCAAAAAACATTCTTCTAGTTCCCAGACTGTTTCTGGGCCAGCCAAGCAAAAGAACTGACTACACAAAAAGAAAATCTTATCAGGTATCTAATTTCTTCTATAGTAATAGCCCTTATTCTTTGACAATGTAACAACTCTGCATTGTGATTTGTATCAGTAAGCCTCTTTCCTCTACAGTATTTTCAGTCTCACAATTATGGTTTGCATCAAACACTTGATTTTACAAACAAAGAGTTCAAGTTACATTTGCCAGAGAACAAGCAGTGTGTTGTGACAGGGTAAAGCCATTCTACAGTGCTTTGATTCTTACCAGAGGTTTATTCTTACTGTGCAAGCACCAGTTTACTTTCTGGCTTAAAATACAAAGGAACTATAGTGGACATCTTTAACTGGCTAATTAGCATCAGTACTATCTGTCACTCTACTGCTTCCAGAGAGGTTTAGATATTTATCTGCAGTCTCTCACCTCCAAGAGAAATTGGCAAATATTCTTCCTCTGGTCACCTTGCAGCTGGATAACTTCACCGTATTCAGGATGTTCAATCACAGTACCATTACAAGCAAATTTCTAGAGAGAAACATTCATATTGTAAGACATCTGATGTACATCATGATTTTGCTTAGTCAGTCTTTTCAGAAGAAATTTGTCTCAGAAGCTGCTTACTAAATTTTGATGACAAGCCAGGCAAAGGCTAAATCTATATTACTGGTTTTGAGAGCAAATGGAATATATGTGCTGATGCATACATACACAAATTAAGCTGCTGAAGATGGTAAATTCAGGCAATGACAGGATTAGCAACTGTGCAGAAGGAACTAGTCAACAGTCATTGCATGGATGAAAACCAAAGAAGTCCTAAGATACAGCCTTTCAACTCCATACTATTTTAAAACACATATTTTTATCCCAGCAAAATTAAAGGTCTCCACTTTAAACAGCAACCCAGTTGTCAACAGAGGCAGGAATGCAAAACCAGTTTACTTTAAACTGGTTTTATTCTTCACATCAACAAAGCCACATATCCGGGAAATTTTAACTAAACATTCAGAATGTATTTTATTTACTTCTTTATAGAATAGAAATATTTAACTTAGCAAATATCAATCTCACTAAATACTGATAGGTGTTTTGAGGAAGAAGTGAGAGAGATCAACCTGAATATGAAAGTGACGTGCATTGCCAAAAATGAAATATAACAAATATTCTGTTACTTAGTATTAAAAGCTATCATACTCCTTTATATATTTTTACTATCAAATCAGATCAGAAACTTTACCTTTTTGAAAGCTTTCACAAGTTTCTTCTTGTCATAATCATCTGCAATTCCCTGAACAGTTGTTAGTGTCTTTCTTCCGTTTCGTTGCTGGATCCTTATATGAATGTAATCCTCAGTCCCCGCCGGGAGTAAGTCGTCGCCCTTTGTTGCATCAGCAAAGGGGTCTGCAGGAGGCAAAAAGATTCATGTCATTCCCACAAAGGAAAACACCCAAGCTCAAAACTAACCAGGAAGTTTCTCACTTCACAACATTTATTGTTATTTAAGGGATAATCCTGATGTTTTCTCCCTGTTTAAAAACACGCTGTTAAAATCAGAGCGCTTTTTTCTACAGCTGTATCAAGTCTCATTCAGCTGCCTACTCAGGACAGCACTCTGTCTGTACTGTGCATCCAGTTCCTTCAATGCCTTCCCAGATATAAACATTTTTCTGCTATCAGTTTACTTCACTGTTTCTTGCAAACTGTAAATCCTGCAGCTCTGAACTTGAAAGCATGGTTCTGAGAGAACGTCAAGTGCACATAGGTTTTAGACGGTCACAGGTATTTAAAGCAAAATAAAGCAATCGTATCTCTTAACAGATCAACTGGTAAATACAAAGAATTAAAAAGGCTCTAGTACACACACTCCCTTTACAGGTCCAGAAGAGAAGTCTTATACTGTGATAACCACCACTCTACCAGCACTTTAAGGCATGGATGTAATTCTTGGCTACTAATAGAGACAAACCACAAACACACACCAACAGATGTCAGAGGCTGTCTGTAAACCAGCACTCTTCCAATCAGCTTTAGGTGAGAATTGAAACAAAATTAATTTAGGCTTTGATTACAGAAATGTCAGTTCTCTATTTCTTCCATGATTAAAATTTATCTAGCACAGATGAAAGGCATTTAGAAAGAAGGGGGTTTCTTCATTAATACCAGTTATTCTCTGTATTTCACAAAAATGTATTTAACACTCCATCTAGAAATTTTACAGATCTGCAAGTCTCCTAATCAATAGCTCAAAAAAAACCTTTAAGCATGAAGTACTTCACTACTTTTTAAGATGAATCACAAGTAATTTTTTATACTGATCAGAATGATATTGAAGAGTCCATGTAGGTTCAACAGCCATGCCAACTAAAATTTCCCAGACTTCCGTCCAAAACTCAGACCTAAAAGCACTGATCAAGCTTTGCTATCCACTCAAAAGAAATGTCCCAAATGAGTAAAACTTCAGCAGAAATGCAAAAAGTAGTTGTTCATCTGCAGACCGACAGACCTTTGTAGAAAGAAGAATGACAAGAGCATTAAAGGAACTGAATGCAGGATGAGGATTCAAGCAAAGAAGTACAGCACCGGGAATCTTGAGTAGTTTAGCTTCTACTAAGGCATTTGTTTAACCGTGGTGAATGTTACTGTGCCCCACAATTTGTGGGGCAAACACCAATAAAAAATTTTAGTCAAAGAAAAAGTGAAAGGAAAAGAGGACTTTGGCATTAAGATCACATGGCAGATTTTAGGACACGAGGGTGGAGATAAACCAAGATCATTTGGCAAGAGTTTAGGGCTCTAGGCTGGAGATAAGCCAGCACTTTAGGTGTTAACGCTGGATGTTAACACGGCTTATACATGCAGAAGATTAGAGTCAAAGCTGTGACCGAAAGTCTGACGATATTACTGTATAAACTGCTAACTTGCTCACTTCTGCTGCCTATAGATAAGGGAGGCGCCTGGCACGGTTAAACTTCCCTGCTGATACAAAAGAAATTACCTGCCATCTGCACAGCTCAATCTACAGAAACACTAACCTTTGCAGGGCTTGCATCACGTTTTGGGACACTGCTAAGGATGAGATGAGGCAGCAAATCAACAAGCAACTGGAACTGAGGAAATCACCCCCAAGGATACGAACCCTTGATAGGGGGTGTCGGAGCAGGGAACATGGCAGCATCTCCTAGGGGAGCAGCGAGGGGCTGAGCCTGCCGCCCCGGGTCTCTCCGCTGCGCACCCCGAGCTCGTCCCGAGGCCGGCGGCACGGGAGGACAAGGATGAGCCGCCGGCGCTGCCTCACGGAGCAACGCGGGGACGGCGACACCCGCTCAATGTCACCGCGGGGGCGGGGCACCGGGGCCTCGGGAACGCGGGGGCCACGAGTGGGGTTTGCTGAGGGGGTGGCTGCGGGGGTGGCGGGGGTGCCGGCGGCTCTTACCGAAGGATTGGAGGTTCTGGATCGAGGACATGCGACTCTGCGGCGAGAGGCTGGAGCTGCGGGGAAGCGAGTCCGCTCGGGTCACGGCTCTGGCTCCGCAGTGCCAGGAGGGGGCGGGGCGCGGGAGGGAGCGAGGGGTGGGGTAACAACAGCAGAGGAACGCGGGGGGGCGAACCTGAGAGGGAGGGCAAGAACAAAAGGAAGGAGTAAGAGGAGAAGGAAGCGCGATGAGGAATAACACGGGGAGGGAGGGACCCCCCGCCCCGCACCGCCCCACGGCACCGCTAACGGGCACCGCCCTCCGCGCTCCGCACAAAATGGCCGCCCGCACGTGACGGAGCCGTGGGAGACCCGCTCCCAGAATCACAGAGTCATTCGGGTTGGAAAGCGAACGTTGTGACCGAACACCACCGTATCAACTAGACCACGGCACGAAGTGCTACGTCCAGTCTTTCCTTAAACACCTCCAAGGATGGTGACTCCACCACATCCCTGGGCAGCCCATTCCAATGTCTAATCACACTTTCTGTGGAGAAATTTTTCCTAATGTTCAATCTAAACCTCCCCTGGCACAGCTTAAGACTAGGTCCTACTGCTAGTTGCCTGGGAGAAGAGAGCGATCCCCACTTTGCCACAATGCCACAAGTTGTAGAGAGCAGTGAGGTCTCCCCTGAGCCTCCTTTTCTCCAGGCTAAACAACTCCAGGTTCCTCAGTCGCTCCTCATCAGACTTGTGCTCCAGACCCTTTACCAGCTTCATTGCCCTTCTCTGTCCTTCCTCACCTCAGTCAGCTGGGGCCCTGACAGTGCCCCTGGCAGGTTGCTGGAGCCCCTTGCTCTCCACCCTGATGGCCATCAGGGACCCCTGTGCCCCGGCAAAGGTCAGCCCCATGGAGGTGAAACAAAGGGGCCTCTTCCATGCTTGCATCCCTTTGGCTTGGGTGCTTTTCAAGCTGATCTGAAATTGAGAGACCACTTTCCCTTTCCCCACTAAAATACATTGCAAACGTCCCTCCTTCAAGCCTCCCTTCCCTGGACAAAGTGCTGCTTTAAATGTTGAATATACTGAGGGAGGGAATCCGTGCCCCACAGACAGCCTGCATCCCCACTTTGGGTACAACTTGGAAACACAAGAAGTTCCACCTCAGCGTGAGGAAGAACTTTCCACTGAGGGTGGCAGAGCACTGGAATGGGCTGCCCAGGGAGGCTGTGGAGTCTCCTTCTCTGGAAACACTGAAAACCCACCTGGGTGCATTCCTGTGTCACCTTCCTGAGGTGACCCTGCCCTGGCAGGGGGGTTGGACTGGATGATCTGCGGAGGTCCCTTCCAACCCTAACAGTCCTGTGATTCCGTGAGCTTTACACCTTTGCCCTCCCTCTCAGGTGGGTGCAGGTGCCATTCCCCAGCCCTGGGGGGCAATGATGGATGGCTGGTGTGTGGCCCCACAGGGCACCCATGCGACAGCCTCCCACTGACCATCCCTGTTTTGGGAGAACATCAGCGGTAGTGGGAAAGGTTTGCATTTAAAAAGGTGTGCAGGTGTTAAAAAGCTTGCCAGTTCTCAGGAGATGATTAATGGCTTTGCAGATGTCCAATAATCTAGTTGCATTGGCTCAACTGCCAGAACCTGTATTTTTTTTCCCCTTTTTTGGCTTTTATGCTAAGCTTCAGTCCTCTTAAATCAGAGGGATATTTCTTTTTTGCAATCCAAGGCCTGGATCAGAACCGCAGTAGCTTTGTGAATGCCAGTGTGCAATGGTCTAAGCAAGTTTCTGATCCTGGCTCTTTGCAAGGAACCTTTTCTTTTTCCCATGGGGAAGGCAAGGCCATTTGCTATGGTACAAAACCTCTGCTTACCGTTTGCTACCATGATTGATGCAGCCTTTCACTGAAGATGGGCTCTAGAGGAGGGTTGTTTAAGTCTTTCCCAAGCAGCTGCAAAAGGCACTCTTGGGGCCTTAATGGGAGAATGAGGCAAGAACTTGAGGTACCTGCTTCAGTCAGAAACATGCTACAATCTGGACAATGTCTGTGGATTCAGGATGCAGAGCTAGACACTGAGAGGCCTTCTGGGAAGGTTGAGGAAGCTCAGGACACCCATCGTCAGGGAAATGACCCCAAGGTGTCTATAGCAACTCTCTCACAGAATTTACATTACTACTAATGTCGAGAATGTTTGTCTCTGATACATTTTTGCTAATTCTACATCTCTCTGTAAGACTTTCTTGTATTTTTTTCTCTCCCATCATCAACCCATGAAACATTTTCCTAGCAGCAAAGCAGGTCCATCATCCTTTTTTTCTTTCAGACACTGTTTTTTGTTACCTTGTCTGGGCTGGTCCTGGTGCTTGTGGGGCACTGGGATGAGTAAGATCTGCAAACTGATTTGAGTTAAAAAATGAACTCAAAGGTTGCATCAAATCCACTCCACTTGCATAATATTACAACAGTTGTGCTGAGACAACCGAAGAGGACAGAGCCTGGGGACAGGCCTGGCTATGGATGAGAGGACAGTGGATCTTCACACACAAATCCCAAGTCCAAGTCTGTGGGTTTAGGCAAGTATTCTGCTTGCTCTGTTTACTTTGAATCCCCATGCATTTAAAACAGTTTACATTTCTAATTCTCACTGCAGGGTTAATACAGTCCTATGGGCTCATTGGGCATCTCTGGAACTCATCCTACAGTTTGCAGACAAATGAGATTTGGTGTCTGGGAAGCAACAAAGCTCCTTTATAAGCCAAGAAGATGTGATTATTTTATCCTTAAAATGGATCCACAATGAATAGTCTTGAAGTGTATACCTTAGCAACTGATGAGGGAATGGAAAAAAACCCGAACTGCACAGCTTGACATATACTGGGCAGCAATTAAAACAAGGGTGGTGGCCAGCACCCTTATTGTTCTATTTACAGTCTATCACTGTCATGTGACAGTGTCTGTCAATGTCCACGTGCATTGGTGGGGTCTCTGTGGGGCTGTGTCCATGCAAAGATCTCTCTCTGCTGTCCTCCTCAGAGGGAGCAGCAGGTTTCCGTGTCACATCTGTCACTATGGTCTGACACAAATACAGTCTGTGCCACCACCTTGCGCAAAACTTTGGTGACTGTGGGCTGAGACAGGTGGCATCCTGCTGGAGACGTGCTTCTCTTGCTATTGCCCCTTGACAGCAGTTATGAGGTCTTTTGTCCTGAGTCCTTTGCATTGCTCTTTGAGCAGCTGCTCATGGCAACGGACCTGTGAAAGTCCTGGTTGCGAGGGCTTTCAGCCATCCTAGGCTGAAGAAAGGTGGGCAAAGCAGACATGGCAAACAGCAGCAAACGAAAGAGGTAGATGCAATTAAAATAGGTTTAAAACCTAAGTGAAGGCAAGAGGTGTTGTTGTTTAACAGTTAAATTTCTGATTACGGCTAATTGTCCTATAGCCAAGGCTGGAGTGAATCTCATTCACTAATATTAGACATCAGAGTTTAAACAATGGATTGGGAATGAGACTCTTGCCTCTCCATGACTAACATACACCCTGCCAACTATGGTGCCAGAAAAAAAGAACATCATCACTAATTAACTTGATCCTGGCTTCAAGCTATTTAAATGTAATAGTTGCAAGACCTGGTTATGAATTGCAAATAGAGATCCCTTTGCTTGCCTTTTACTGTATTTCACTTCATCTGTCAAGCTGCATGTGAATCATTAGAGGTTATTTATGACTAGATGAGCTGCAGGGATTAAAATCAGGGACTCACTGGCATACAGATGATAAATATAACATACTGAAGCCATAAAGTACACTTTAAAATGCCACCCTAGTGCAGAACTTCAACTTCACTGGGTACCCTCAGAGGTACTTCAGATGCCCTTGAGGAGCAACAGGTAACCCAGACCAGTGGGAGAAACTTTGTTCTTCCAGAGAATTGCTATGTTGGAAAAATGGGCTGGGAATGCCATGAAAAAGCCTCGCATGAGGAAAAAAACAAGTTACCTACACAGTAGGGGCTCATGATATGCTTTAGTTTAGGACTTACTATGACATATGTCTTTGGTTTTGTGCTTGCACAAGGCCACACTTACTTGCAGCTGCCCCTCTGTAATAACTAGAATGAACAACATTGTTTTTCACTTCCTGTGGACAAGATTGTAATATATATTACTATTATTTTCATGTGCATCATCATAATATTTTAAGTTTTATTTCTTAGCTGCTTTTACAAAGCTAAAATTTAATTTAATTAAGGCCCACTCCTGTAGGCAGATCTCCTGTACCTGGTCCTGCAGTCTACCTTACTAGAAAATGCCAGGCTTGCATGCTGACCTGTCCTCTGCAACAGCCTGGAAACCCAGTTACTGCTTGAAGCACTCAGTGTTCAAAGAGCAGTTAAAGTTGCCTGAAAAAGTGATTGTGCATGAAATGTGCAAATGGCACGTAGCAGCACTGATTTCCGTCTTGCAACTACTCTGTGCACAAAATCTGCTCCACTCCAGCACCAGAAGCTGACCTTTGCTGGCCTAATATTGGCATTCTGAAAATAATGTCAAAGTGCCAGATGCCTGAGAGATATGCAGAAATATTTCCATCCTTGATTTTTTTTTCTTGAACTTTAATCTTCCCTGCTCCCACTACATGATTCTACCTACAGTATCCAGCTCCATTTGGAATCTGGACATTCTGAACCTCTGTGCAGGAGGTTGCCCGGTGGTTTTCTAGCACAGAGGAAGAATAGCAAAAGTGTCTGGAGAAATCCTCCCTCTCCCATCAGGAGAATAGTTTCAAAGGTGGCTGTAACCATGCCAACCCTGACTTGTATTTTTCCATCCAAGCTCTTACTGTGGTGCAAAGCCTCCACAGTGTGCTGAGGAAGGGCTTGTGGAGGCTGGCTGATGTCCTGAGCTGTAGTCTATGCTTGAGCTGCCCAGCTGCAAACAAGTTGTTCCAATAAGCATGTGCTAACTGGGAGATTGGGCAAACTGGAAATTGTGCTGATGATAAACACCTGGATATCCAGCCTAACTCATGAGAATTGGGATTTTATGTAGTTTGGCTGAGCTTCAGTACATGGCCAGATTTCAAGATACACATGCTTTTGTTTGAAACTTGGGGGGGGGTTCATTCCTTGCTCAGTAGTGATTGAAAATAAGATAATTTTGGCATTAACCACTAGATGGTCCTCTTTCTCAAAGAAAAAAACTAGCTCCAAAATAAAACCAGTCCTGGCTTTTCTCTGAAGCTAAATGTTAGTAGAGAACAGTTT